GGGCACCCGCCTGGCCTGGCTGGCCGACCCCGAAGCCCAGAGCAACTTTGACTTTGATGGTAAAAGCAATGAGTTCTTCTTCGACCGTCACCCCGGGATCTTCTCCTACGTGCTCAACTACTACCGTACCGGCAAGCTGCACTGCCCCGCGGACATCTGCGGACCCCTCTTCGAGGAGGAGCTGACCTACTGGGGCATCGATGAGACGGACGTGGAGCCTTGCTGCTGGATGACCTACCGCCAGCATCGTGATGCCGAAGAGGCCCTGGACATCTTTGAGAGTCCGGAGCCTGGTGGAGGGGCTGGTGGAGAGGAGCCTGAAGAGGAAGGGGGTAGGGAGATGGCCCTTCAACGCCTGGGCATGGATGACAGGCCGCCGCGGGGGCTGCCGGAGGGGGTGGCTGCTGTCGGAACTGGCAGCCCAGGATGTGGGCACTCTTTGAAGATCCCTACTCATCCAAGGCGGCAAGGGTAAGCTCCCGAAACGTGCCAGTGGGGAGGTGGGATGAGGCTGTGCTGGGGTTGTGTCTTCATCTCCCCATCCCCGTGGGGTGAGATGGACTCTCCTAGCGAGTCACGGGGGCCCCCCATAGCCACCCCCCCTCCCACCACGGGGCACGTTGGCCATCTCCCATCCCTATGGGAAGTCTCCTCCATCATCTCCCCATCCCCTCCCAAAGCATCGCATCTGGAGGAGCTGGGCTGAAACTGGGGGCTAACCCACTCCCTGCCCCCTTCTCACCCTCGGGTGCTGCATGGGCACCTCCTGGGCACACGGAGATGAGGGATGGTCAGGGAGAGTCCTTGGCAGGGCTGAGTCCTGGCAGAGTTTCAGGATGCTCCAGGACAGGCTGGGTTGCTTGGGTTCCTCTCGCCGCGTTCTGTGCGTGCCCACGCCAAAACCCACGTTTAATGGCCCAGGTGTGGAGTGGGGGGACAGGGATGGTGCCTGCTGGCACCCAGTTCAGGTCCTGAACCCAATGGGATCCTCCTGGTTGTCCCCCAAGGAGCTCGTGCTCCTCTTCTACAGCAGCAGCAGCCCCAAAGGACACCCCGTGCGTCTG